ATAGATGAAGAAGCTGAGGGACAAAGAGGTAAAATTTGTGCATGATCCTGAAACCTGCAAGTCACAGAATCTGGTTTGAGACTCAAACCAGTTGAATTTGAAAGTCCATAGAAATGACTGGTAGCAACTAGGGGATCTAAGAAGGCCTCTTTGAGATACAAAATGTGAGCTGACACCCAACTGATAAGAAGCTGGTTTTATCAGTTCATCTTAATTGTCAATTTGATTCGATTAAGAGACTTTTACATCATGGGGTACTATACTCAGCAGTAGATTAACCTGTTGATCTTCATGATTACATGTGCTATTCCATGTAAGACGTGGTTGAAGGAGGTGGGTCACTAGAGGAGTAGCTCTGGAGGATACACCTCTCCCTAGCATTCATTCGTGTTCTGCTTTCCTGCTGCCATTAAGAGAGAAGATTTGCTCCTCCATACCCACTGCCATGATGTTTCTGCCTTATCCAGCCAACCATGAACTGACACCTCTTATACAATGAGCCAAATAAATCATTTTACCCACTTAAATGGATGATGTCAAGTACTTTGTTCCTGCAGTGAGAAAGTTGACTAATATATCCAGCATGTTCAGGAGATCAGGAGGAATAACACACACATTGTGAACTGTTTTTCCACAAATCATGTAGACAAACCTACGTGTGACTGGGAACTAGAATGAACCAGTGTGATGAGAATAGAGAGGGCAAAAGGAAAGCTGGGTATGAAGTGAGATCACATAGGAAGCAGGACTCACAAGCTGATGAGAGGCTTGGGGTTTATTCAGAGTGCTTGGGAATTCATGGAGGGTCTTAGGCAGGTGAACCATCTGTGTGATATGGTCTGATTCAATAAATAGTGGTATGATTGACAAGGAGTTCTATAAGCTGCAATAGCTTGTGGAAAGGCATAACATGGAAAATAATTCAGTAGGAGTGGAATAAAAGCTTTCCTGTAGAAGAAGGTGATGAGTCTGTTGGTCAGAGATTTACAGGTCTATGGGTAACATTTCTGAACTTTATTCTATGGGGAGGGAGGGAACAGAGGCTTCTCAGCAGAATCATAATATCATTAGATTTGAATTTTCCAGAGTTCCCTATGCAGCTCTGTGGAGAATAGAGGGTCTGGCTGGGAGAAGAGAGCTGCTGGGAGACCAGACAGCCAGGTTGGAAGTTAGAGGAGCGATAGGGTCAGAGGCAACCAAAAGGATGAGAGGGACGATATTGGAAGGATACAAGAGGAGAACAAATTTAAGGTGTCATCAGTGTATACATAGGAGCACACTGACATGACTGACTGCATAATGGTGCCTGAGAATACAGAAGTAAATTTTCAGGAAAACACAGTCCAGTTTGGACGCAGTGACTGATTTATATAGGGACACCCAAGTAGAGCTGTTCCCAAGATAGAACTGAGGAACAGGAGTGTAGTAGGGTTAGGGACCAAAGTGAAGATGCAGGGTTATTAATTTCAAGGTGGTAAGCTAAAGCCATGGGTGCAGAGAAAGTCACCAGGACAGTGTGACAAGAGTAGATCCAGGGCACTGAAAGACATTCCTGAGGATACGCTGACATTTTGAGGCTGGATGAAGGAAAAATACACTGCGAAGTAGATTGAGAAGGACTGCCAGAAAGGTAGGAGGAGAATAAAAGTCATCAAGTTAAATAAAAGAAGAAATTAGTTCTGCCAATTTGCAAATCGGTAGAAGTCTTCAAAGGAGACTCTTGGCCAGGGTGAAGCAGGAGGAGATAGGAGCTGTTGGCTGCATATTCTAATGCCTCGCTGGGAAGGGAAGTAGAAAGATGGACCAGGGAATCCAGGAGAGGTGCTTTATGTAGAAGCAGAAATGGTGAATGAGTTTGCGCTCCTGCGACAGAGGGAGCAGAGAGGAAGGCATTGACTTTTCCCAAGTGCGTAGTTGACTGAAGACTGCAGGCTCCCTGGAAAGCATGCAAGGACAACCCTGCACTGTTGTGTAGAGAGGCAGAGCACAGTGCTTCCTCAAGTCTGCCCCTGCTCCCTCCTTAAGCAGCCTCTTCTCATTAATATATTGGCTCACTGGTACTGACTCTGTGTTTTGATACTTTCACTTTCCAGACTAAAATAACTGACAATAGTCTGTCTATTGGTGTGTCTGTCTTTAACTTCCCACTATCTAACACTAGCCCAGTCAACTGTAAGACACCAGGGTGGCCTGACACATGGTGTTTCTTTCCTCTGGGGACTGTGTGTGGGGCAGAGGCTACAGCAGATGCTGAAGGCAAGGCCAGCTTCATGGATGTGGCCAGGGTTACAACTTATCTCCGGTTTTTACTTCCTGGAGTCAGTGTTCTTATCTCCATTTTTCAGATCAGGAAATAGACTCAGCAAGGCTTGCTAGTTACCCAACTTCTTACAGTCAGTTGTATGGTATCTGGGAGCAAAACGTAGCCTTTCTGACTCTAAAGCCTACAAACCCTTGACCACATTGTGGAAGTCATGGTCCACTAGATCTGATGATAAAAGGCTGGCAGCAAGGAGACCAGTAGAGAGGCTTTTGCAGAAAACCTAAGCAGATCAAGTGAGTGTTGGCAGTGGGAATGGAGACGCCTGCCTGGAGCTGCACTGAGAAGTGTGCTTTAGGTAGGAGGCACAGACTTCATCCTGGAGAGTGGAAAAGCAAATTTCTTCATCACTGATAATACCAAGAGGCATTGTCAGTGCCACAGGTCTTGATTCCTGAATGGCCATCCAGCCTGGGTTAATTCCAGAGCTGGGGCAGAGAAAATACAAGGTGAACCCAGGATGTCTTACTGTGCCAGAAAGCAACAGAGTGCTCAAAGATTAATGAGCTTGGGTCAAAATGACAATCGGCACCCACAACAACTACCTTGAAGGAACCTTTACTGGGAAAGTTAAGACAATAGAGCAACAAAAATAATAATGAGCCAACAAAAGAAAGAATCTTTGCATCAGTGATGAAGATAATGATGATGATGACCATGACAATGATGATGAGAGAAAGACAGAAAAAGAGCAAGTGCAAAAGAGGTAGGAAGTTATTCTTTACATCAAATGAAGAACAATAGAAAACCATCATTCAGCAAGGCAGTGATTGTAAACAAGCACTGTCAATGATGCTAACATTATTGAGTTATTGGAAAACAAGCTATTCATGCAGACTCAAATCACCCACAAGTTACCTATTAATTACAAAAGGGAAAATGTATTTTTGTGGTGGAGAGACCTTGTGAATAATTAGTATCAAATTTAGCACCACCAAAGCAAGGTACAGTTGTCAGTCAGTGTGTGCTTCTTTATGTGATGCTCTGGGAAACATGTATTAAGACATGGGTTTACCTGGGCCTAAGCATTAGGAAGCAAATCTACAGCATAATGATGTCTAAACTCTTTACATGTTTCAGTGTATTAAAAGATAGGAGAAAAAAACAGGGGTGATTAACTTAAAAGAAATTAAAGGGACATGATGACCAAAAGCAAAGTGTGAAATTTAGTTGGATCCCAGAGTTTGAAGATAACAACATCACTCTGGGAGCAACTGAAGAAATTTGTAGATTGAATCTAAATAGATGACATTTAAAAATCAGTCCTAAGGACTTAGCATTCTGAGCTAGCATGGAAGAAGTTTAGATATTTGATACTTCACACTAGCAAGAAGCTAAACAAACTAAAAAAATCTTCTTAGATTTACTGGAGAAGTGAAATATTTAAAATTCCTAGAGAAAAAAACCCCACCAATCTAATATTAATCTTACATTTCTTGGATATGATAATAGGATTCTAGTTAAATAGGAAAATGTCTGGTTTTTAGAAGATAGAAATGGACGTACAACATCATAATGTTGGCAACTGCTTTTAAATTTATAGAGGGATGTTGCTAATTAACAAACTTAAAAATGTGTCTGCTGCTATAAAATTAAAGTAAAAAATTACCAAAATGATAAAAACAGCATAGAATATTAAACAATACAAATGCCATCTTCTGGTCTGTGAATTGTAATGAATTAATTCAAACTGTTGAGAATCTGAAGTTTTGCCTAACCCAAGAAAGAGTTTATTGAGCAAAATAATACATAGTGTAATGTCAGACTGACTTAGTAGAAATATAGAATTAATTTCAATCCAATAATTCCACTCTTAAATATTTACCTTAACAAAAAGATAGCTTATAGTCACACAAAATGTGCATTTCATCATTTTATAGTCACCTGAAACTGAACACATCCTCAAAGTTTTCCAGTAGGTAAATGGATAAGCAGACTGTTTACAGGCATGTGATTGACTGCCATGCAGCAATAAAAATGAATGAATTTTTGATTCATGCAACAAGATGAATAAATTGTAAAAGCATTGTGACAAGTTAAAGAAGACAGACTCACAAGATTGCATGCTATGAGATTTCATTTGTGTTATGACATTGATGAGAAGATAAGATGACAAGACAGCACTGGTCAATAGTTGCAAGCAATGATTATAAAAGGGAGAGGAGAGATCTTTGGGGTCATGGAATGGTTCTCTAGGTGGTTCTCTAACGTGGTTGTGGTTTTGTGAATCTGTACCTGGATTACCATTCTAAGACTGTACGCAGAAAAAGCCAAAATTATTATAGCTTAACTCAATAGGTATGAAGAGAAAAAGCCTAAGAGCACTAACTCTTGAATGTTAAAATTTTAATAGTTACATATTTAAAGACAAAAACATACGTGATAACAAATAGGATGTGTTTAATGACATTAAAATATAAAATCATTGCTCACCATAAAAATTCATGAAACTATATAACACTTCTGGGTTGTGCACATTTCTGAAAGTATACTATGCAGGGGTAAAAAGTTTAAAAGTGTAAGCAGATGATTTGCTTGCTCTAATGAACACACAATGATAAAGGTGAAAATAATGCTTTGTTTGATTGAATAACATGTTAGAAACGGGCAGCTCTGGAGTTAGGGTGTGATTTCAAAGAACTGTAATACTCTCTGTTACTTCAACTTTCCTTCATTTCAGGGAAGAGTAGGAGCATGAAGATATGGACAATTCAAATCCTGTGGTCTTCTTAGCTGCTTTTCATCTAAAGTAGCACATGAACTCCATGTGCAAGCCGATATGGCTGATAGAGCTACCGCTACTTCCCTTTACCCACGGAAAGCTACGTTACTGTGCACAGTACAGATGGAACTGGAGGTACTGGTCTGCCCAAGTACTGGGGAAATGCTTGATGATCTGCAGGTTCGAGAGCTGAATAGTAACACCATGTGTCTTGCATTCATATTATGTTCTATATTTTTATGGGGAGAAAGGAAGTGTATTAAGTGTTAAGTAAACACCAGGCATTGTGTTAGTGCTTTAGGTTTGCTATTTAGTTCTTCATATCACCAAGTTAGCAGAGAGTATTATCCCCTTTTTACAAAAGTGGAAAATGGCTATGGTGATCTGTCAAGGTCTACAAACAAATACCTGATCTAACCAGGAATTAGCCCCTGCCACGTGAGCCCCCAAATCAGAATTAACAGAATATGACGATTCTATCCTCACAATTGGCATTGTAAGGCTACTCACAGCAGAGTGGTCTCTGCAGTTCAGACAGGTTTATGGAGGCTGCTTTGCCTCTGATGGTACTGACAATTTCTTTTGTCACAGAGTTGGGTCCACTGAGCTTCTGAGGGCTATGCATGTCCCAGGCAAGTGGAATGTTTTATTTCCAATAAAAAAAAAAACTTATGACATCATTGCTTGGCTGAAGCCATTAATACAACTGCCATTGTACCTCATGGTTAGGAACATCAAGTTCCATACAAATTCTATTGCTTCAAATGCTCAGCCTAAGTTCTGCAAAGTGATGGAAATTTGTCCTCAAGTGACAACCTCCTTACTACAGAACTTATGGATTCAAATATACTTGGATTTCTTCCATGGACCAATTCCAGCTGTCCTACCTTTTGATGATTTATTTCAGATACCTTCCAGGCTTTACCTAGGAACTCCACCATGAAAAGACAGCAGGAATTCTAGAGTGTTGTCATGGCAACCCCTAGATATCATCTTCACAATGCCCCATGGCTGTTGAGTCCAGATTTATTACAATTATATTTCTATATGGAAGGTACAGACAACCAGACCTCAGAAAATGGTTCTAATTTGCAATTATATGGATCACTGTAACACTCCTTATAGCAAGATTTTAAGAAACTGCTCTCGATCTGGTGATAGCTGCCATATTTACATGGGCCCATACCTTAAATGTATTGTGTTAGGGTAGGGGATATCTACCCAACCTTCCATTCTGTCAAAAGAAAATAGAGTCCAATTTTATGAAGGTGTTTGATGAGAAATTGGCACCAGCTCCCTTTTGTCCCTAAAGTGAGGAGAATATGCTGAGCTCTTGCTTCAGATTCTCCTTTTTATTTCTCTTTGTCTCCTGAACCATGCTTGAAACAATGGGAGCACAAAGCCCTGTTACAACAGAACCACTTCCAAGCAGAACGGTGCAGGGGCTGCCCAGCATCTTGTGCAGTGGGTGTTTGTCTAGCATCATCATTGCAATTTTTATTGCATCTCATGATGTGCACAGATGTGCTTGGTAAGCATCCCAAGAGGTAAAGAGACTCTGCTCAATATCCCTGTTCCCAAATGACACTACCTTACAGAATCACTTTCTGGGCTACCTCCTTTGGGATGCTACAGCCATTTAAAGTCTCTGGATTTTGGTGTTTTAACAAGGGTTTAATTACTAAGGTAAGTGTATGCACCTGCTAAGGCATTCCTAATTATTTGATAATGGTGCAATCTTTCTCAATACAGCTAGTTTTGTGGTGTAAGCTACACTAATGAAGCACAGTGAGAGAACACATTCCCCCAATGTTGGGGAGGCTTATTTAAATTAAATAAATTTGCAAAGGACTGAATTTTTACCACTGGCCTCAACAATTATGCATCAGTACACCATACCAGAAGCCAGTGTGCCTCTGTCAAAATGAGTCACACTCCCCATTACTTTTGCTCATTGAAGTATCTTTAAGTGAGACGATGTCACTTTCAAATTTTTATCCTTTCCAGATTGCTTCACATACTTCAACTTGTCCCACTCTGTCTTAAAAAAAAAAAAAAAAAGCTTATCTCTTTTGTTTTTTACTTGGCAGCAACTGATATAAGCACTGTTTGACAATGCTTAATTTTTTTTCTTTTCCACCTGATTCTTACCACTGCCATATGTGGTCTGTGGGTGACTTAGTAGTAAGATCCTTGCTTATAACATCTGCAAATTAGCACCTTGCACTGCAGCCTCTCTGGAAACTTGCTGATGGTTTGCAATTGTAGTAAGTCAGAGTCAACCTTCTATCCAAGTGTTTCAAACTTTGCTGCAGAAGAAGAATCAGGTTCCAGCAGATGAATGGTTTCCAAATCACTGTTAGGAGCTACATTAGCAAAACATTGTGCATCTCACTCCTCAAACACACATATTCATTTCAGTACGTGCAGTTGCTCAGGAAAGAAATTGAAACTGATCAAAACTGGTTCTATCTCTTCTGTATTCCTGGTCATTTAATTTTTTCTTCCAAAATATTTTAGTGAATCAGCCTGGTTCCACCAAAGGCTATCATTAATGAAATTTTCCAAGACAAGGTAAAAGAATGTCCTTCATTGTCCAATTTTTCCAAATATTTGTGAAAGTTAAATCGATTTTTATATTTTTCCAATAAAATAAATACACCAATGGCCTGTTGTCAAGAATTTAAATTATGTACAAGTGATAGTCAAGACAAATGAGCGATGGGTGAGGACACACAAATGAGAACCCCTGACAAATTAGGGTTGAGGGTTAACACTGTGACCAAGCATGGTGAGGACAATTTTTAGCTGCACCAGGGGACAGATGCTTCACATGCTACTGGAGTTATCCAGAGTTCACAATCACGGAGGTCTAGATCACACACTCACACAGAGGTCTAGATCAAACAGGGCAAGGGTGGTTGTGACCGGTGACATTAAGAGCAAAGCTGAGGCCTGTTGGGAGGAGAGCAGGCAGCAGAGAGGGTAACTTGCAGTGCCAGGCAAATCAGAAGGTGGAGGGGGCCTCCCAGCTGATTTCTCAGTGTCCTAGAGATTTCTGTTATTAATGTGGCTTGGGGCATGTACTGCTGATAATTACTGCTAGCTGGAATAATTAATAAGAATAATTGCTCGGCATGGAAAGGGAAAGGGAAGCTCTGGGAGGAGGAAGAAGCAGGCTAGAGGAGCAAGAGACTCCCCAAGCGCATTTATATAGACAGGAAGTTCAGCAGCAAGCATCCTGAGAATCGAAGAGTTGTCTGGATGCCAAGGGTAAAAGTTAAGAGATATTGAATGAGGCCGAATTTGATGGTCTTGTCTTGGAATGCAGAGGAGAAGCAGGCTGTCATGGCTATGGGAAGGGGTGATTCCCTCTGGAAATTACAGGTGGAGGTTGTGGGGAAAAATTTCAGTGCAAAGGAAATTAGGAAGTGGCATTAAATGAGCAGGTGAGTCTGTGTATCTGATATAAACCAGGTCTGACAGCAGGAGACGAGCTAAAAGGAAGACAAGTAAAGAACGATGCCCCGGTGAGAGTCTGGGAGACTTTATCTCAGCTTGAAGGAGGAAAAGCATCCCTTAGAAGCCAAGCGTTGGTGTTGACAGTGTGTAAAATAACCACAATTTTGATGTAATAGGGTAAATTTTCTCAACACTATGGAGGCGTTGCCAACACAGTTCTTGATATTGTAGCTTCCTACATGTTAAACTTAAACATTCCCCCAAAGGCAGGACTAGCATATGGTTGGCAAAACTTAAAGAAGTGAGGAAACTGGGTGGGAAGTTTTAAGTATAAGCAGAGTGAGGAGTCTGGCAGCCAGAGTTCTGATAATGACATACAGAATAAGGCGGCCGAACAAGGGCTGAGCGTTCACTGTGACCCTCCACGGGAGACAGGCACCACGTGCAGTGTTGTATTATGCGGTAAGACAAGCCCATAAAGGCCAGGAATGATTACCTACAATTTCCTTTTCCTATGGGAATGGTACAGGAAGCACAATTAAGGCCAAAAATCATGGATTTACCAAATTAGCTCTACCCAGTATTTGACATTTAGCATTCCAATCAATGATGCCCTTAACCCTCTCTCCATCTGCGTAACATAAATGCATTGTAACTGTAAGGCAAGAGAAATGATTCTACTGAAACAGCCAATGCCATATGCTTAGTAGTGAGCTTTCCCAGGTCCTGCTGTTACTCAAAGAGTATGTGTGTGGGGTGGTACTCCCCTTGCTCAGTTCCATCGTCTTGGAGCGCCAGCACCCCTAGTCCTCCAATCAGTGCTACATAAGGACCTAGCACATGCTGGTCCAAGAAGACATCTTGAATTGAGCCATATTGTGTCCGTGTAATGTTTGGCAAACTCAAATAGCAAAATGCTAAATGGGAAATAACTTTTTAAAGGCTATGGCAAGCAAACCCAGTGTATTCAGCCTCTTGAGTGTAAAGCAGGAGATAAGACAACCTAGTGCCACGATGCAAGGGTCAGATAAAGACCTAAAGTCTAAGCTCTTATGTTTTTATGAAGCTTTAGCCACCCTAACTGAGTGTGATCTTTCTTAGCAAATAAAAAGCCGAACTAGAACTTCAATTTAGTGGCTACCCTTGGATGACGCTTCATCCTTAGAGGACTAAGGACTCGTCCCCTGTCCTCCAATTAGTGACATAAAGGAGAATGGAGGTGAGGCATGAGGAGGGCATGGGAATATTTACCAACAGCCATGACAGGGCCAGGAGGACCCAGCATAAACCTGGGCATCCTTGGGTGGGTGAAAGATACCCTCACTATGTTTCTTTGTCGAGTCTCAAAGGTGGTGGCTGAGGAATGTGAGCAGTGGCACACAGAGTTGAGTTGGAGTATGTGGACCTGCGAGAGCTCGGAAGAGGGCAGTGGCAGAGGGAGTGCAGCTAAGTGTGGATAAGCCATCAGTTGGTCCTTAGAGAGAAGAGAAGGATGCCCTCTGTGCCCCTGCCCACCTACCCAGCTGAAGAATGTCCAGCACTCTCAGCTCAATGGTCCTGTGTAGGCAGAAGAAAGGAAAGGAGTCTGTGACCAAGGTGCACCTGAAAGTCCAAGTGCTTTGAAGTCACATACACATGACAGTGAATCCTGGACTGGTGACTGGCCATAGAGTGACACAGAAAGTGCTTAACCTCACAGCTTCTATGCTATGAATAAAGAAACCTGCTAGGGCTGATAACAAAGCTACAGTAAATATGCAGCCCACCTCGCTCTTTGCCTGGTACACTGTAGGCGCCCTATGAAAGCTAGCTTCCACTTTGCCCTTCCTAGACATGCGTAACTGGATCCCTCACTGTCCTTCCACAGCCTTCCTAGTTCATTCATAACTGATTAACTAACACACCTAATTATGAGAGGGATGGGGAAAATCACTTGTCACCTTGCCTTGTGATGTTCCAGCACAGAATCATTTCTCTTTCCTCTTTACTTGGTAGCATACACCATAAGAAGGGGATTAACACTGTACTCTTGGCTGTGTCCATTCTACAAGGACTTAGTGAGTGCCTCTCCAGGGTCACACAGTGGCCACTAGTGACTCATGCTTTTATCGTCTCCAGATACCAAGACCAAACTTGTGGGTGGAAGCAATAAGCTGAAGTGAATGCCCCGCCCACTTCCAAAAGGAGTCTCATATGGTGCCGTAGAAGAACAGTTCTTAACTGAAAGTGGCAAGAAGAGAAAATGACCAAGAACCACTTGAATAAAGATTCTATCTGGTAACACTAAGTTACTGTGCACTTAGTCTGTGCAAGGCATGAGTTTAAATGTATTTCATACATCAACTCATTTAATCTTCATAACAAGTCCAGGAAGCACTGAAGATGGCGTTGAAGATGATGAAACAGAAAGACAGTGAGGCCAACGACATTGTCTAGGTCACAAAGCAAGGTAGAGGCCAATTGTCTGGCCAAGAGTCCTCCCTGTTAACCTCTACAATACGCAGTCACACCATAGTTTACTCCCACTGGCTCACACCCAGTGACTAAGCAAGGCAGGCAGATCGCCTCCTCCCTATCTCTGCACTCCCTCTGCTCTTCAGTGAATTCTCATTTTTTTAAGGGAGCTCTTAGTGTTGATTTTCATCTCTTTTCATTCTTAACAAAACATTAACTCAGGATCAGGGGTGCAGAATGGACAGCGATTGGCAGTATCCTGGAGCTGGAGTAATACATCATCTAAGTTTCTGGTCTAGGCAGAGGTCCCTTCTTCTTTCTCAGTAGAAAGGCCCAAGATGGTGGCTTTATGTTTCTCAGTTATCAAGAGACCAGGCTGAGGCAAAAGGAAAACCTTTGTCAATTTTGCAAAGAGTCTTTGTTTAGCCAATTTTGAGACTGAGATGGTCTCCAGCAATGCTCTGGCAGTGCCCTGTCCTTCGGGACTGCAGAGGAGGGAAATGTGAGCTTCCTGGATGCCTAAGGGTACATTCCACTGTGAGAGGAGCTTCAGGCAATCTGAAGTCCCGAGAGAAGCCAGAAGCAGTTCCCAAATATAAGTTCTAACTTGTTTACCTTAGACTTGAAGCCATTCCCTGTGGATTCTGCCATTGGCATTCAATCTATCTCATCTTCTAGAGTTAGGGGCTTGTCTTTTCCCAGCTACACTTAAGGCTGTTTTATTTCTCAAATGCTTCCAAACTGAACGAAACTGTCTCAGTCCCAAAGGAGCAAACAAAACCCTGGCAGGAAAGGCGGGCTTTCAAATGTCCTCTCCCTAGGGTTCCTTAGGGACAAAGCCACATCAGAGGGACCAGCCCTTTGGCCTTTTTGTCTCCTACTCAGCTGTCTGGCCCAGACCAAGTAGATGGCTCTATTTCCCTAGCCGCAAGTCTTTCCCTTTTCAATCCTGCTTGCTGACCCCGAGATCCTTCTCCCTTTTTAGGATGAAGGTCCAACTTTGCACAGGCAGAAAGAGAAAGGTGAAGTTTTAAATTTAGGCTCATGAAGCAAGTATAAAAGTCTGCTTTGTACACTATATTCTTTTCAGCAGTCAGCCAGGTAGGTGTGCAATGGATGAATAGAATCAGAAGATACCAAATCTAGAGGTGTAGAACAAATAGTAGGCACCGTGGCCAAAAAAAGTTAGAAGTGATGGTTGACACTTTGAAACTACCAGTGTCATTGATCTTCTTGATGAAACTATTACATAGTTTGGTTCTAAAGACCACTACCTTTCTCAGTAATGCATCAAAATGTTGGCTCCTTTAGGGGTGTGTGTGTGTGTGTGTGTGTGTGTGTGTGTGTGTGTGTACTATAGAGAAGACCAGTCAGTTAGATTTTAGCACAATTCTTTCTATCTTTTCTATCTTCTTAAATCTAAAGTAGAGCTTTGTCGTAGACCTGATGCAAGTACTCAAGAAACATTTCCTTTCTTCCTTCCTTCCTTCTTTCCTTCCTTCTTTCCATTAAAAAATTACTATTGCTTCTTTGACCAACACTGCTGGGTGCAAAAAGGCTTTCTTTGTATTTATATTTTATATAAGCAACTGCTCGGGGCAAAGCAGGTATAGATTACATTTTAAAAGGAGGAGGGAATTTCTGCTGTGTAGGAAGATCTCCTAGAAGCTTCTCCAGCCTTTTTTCCCATTGCTCACACTTTGCACAAGAGTGGAGCCTACTGACGGATGAGGAAGAAGGAACTGGGCATG